CGTACAGAAAATCTAAGCAGGGTTTTGGAAACTGCAAAATATTCTCTACAAGTCGTAGTTATAGGTTTTTGATTAAAAAAAAAATTCAAAGTGAAAATGTTGGTTAGAAAAAAGTTAAAAAATTGCATAATTTCAAAACGCTGCGATTTTTTTCCAAATGCCCGAAATTTGTCGTTTTCCTGAAAATCAATGTAATAAGCAATTTTTTATTTATTTTTTTGTTTAAAATATTTTTTAGCAATAATCCATATTTTCTTCATCAAAAAACGTTCATAATTCTAAAAAAAATTATTTTCAAAAATTTTTTTAACACCCACATGCTTCACAAACGTCATAAAAAATTTAATATCGGGTATTTTCGCAGCATTTTGAAATTTGAGGGTTTCTTTAGGACACTTTGAGATTGAAAAGTTACAGTCGATATCCTTAGTTTATTCATTATTTGGAAAGTTAATCAAACACCTATGCAATTTTTTATCTTTTTTTCTAACATATTCACTTTGAAAAATTTTTTTTTAACAAAAACCCATAATTACGACTTGTAGAGAATACTTTGCAGTTTCCAAAACCCTGCTTGAATTTTCTGTACGACTTTATTTCCCGAGTAATTGATAACCAAAGTTAAAAATGATTTTTTTGCCTTGATCGACGCTAACTCAGCGACAAATAATCGTACAAGGCTCCGGAACCGCTTAAATTGAAGATAATTAAATTATCTAAAAGAGCTTTATGATGAAATAACCAAAAAAAATTTTTTAAGTCCTTTTTTTAAAAAAAGCAAAAATTTACAATTTTTTTTTCGTTGATTTTCTTATGATTACTCAAAAATTGCTAACGTTAAAAAAATTTAAACTGCAGATCTGAAAACTAGACACTTAAAGCTTCAATTTCCTTTTTTTTTATTCTCTCTACGACCATTTCCCACCAAGCTCTTTGAAAATCACCCAAAATTTTCGGATTTTTTTAATAACGCTTAATATCTATGCCTAGATATGGTTAGTATTTGAAACCTCCCATTCTTAGGTACCTATACAATTCTAGATGAAAAAATTGAATTTGGGCGCTTTAACTATTGCTCAAAGGGACAATCTTTTTATAATACCTAATTGTAACAAAAAACATTATTTTTTCAAGTTTTTAAGAAAATTGTAACCTCTTACTTTTGAATCGACATATTATTCGCAATTGTTTTTGTGTGTTTAACCAATCATACATTTTGATACAATCTCTGATTTAGATAAAACGAGTTAATGAAAGACATTGAGCGAAGCTGAGTAAGTCAATTAAATATTTGTTATATATGGATGAATCTTACGTTCAAGTCCTCCCTTTTGCTACCAATATAGATACTTAGTTAAGCTGCCCCACGAAAGGAGCCAGCATTTTGGCGCCTGTTGTGAGGTAAATATGTTAGGACATTTTAATTTTAGTCTTCTCAGTGAATGAAATGAAAGAGCGCTAACGTTAAAAAAAAATGCAAAAAAAACTATTTTTAAAAAGTCCTGTTTACTTTGGAAATTACCTTGTATATGTTCCAGTGAAAATAAAATACAATTATATAAGTTTACTGACACAAATGGATGCAAATAATATGAAACGATCGCTTTCTTGTTTCAGCTGTGATTTATTCTTATATGTAAGTATGTGTTATGTATAAGTAAAACTCAATGCGGCATATCGGTATCGTTTGTACAAGGACCCTTTTCCACACACTATACAATACAAAATGGACAGTGAAACATTTCTAAAATCAATATTTACTTTGCTGTGCATGTCCCTGTTCGCATAATAAGAATAATAAAATCGATATGGTTATCTAGAAGTAACTGTCTAGAAAACTAAAATCGAATATCGTCAACTTTAAAAATATTTAACAATGATGCATTATGGCATCGATTTTTACACATATACATCTAACACGGAAGTCCGAAATTTTGAGAAAAAATGTAGATAGGTATACAGTGTATTTTACTTCAAATGAATGTAAATGCAAAAAATATGGTTGAATTAGTTTGAATAATAATACATTAAAAGAAAGAGAGATAGATAACACTTTTTTAAATGAAATATTACTCTCTGGCATTTGCTAACAAAAACAAAAGACAAAAAATATATATTTCATGGTTTGATCGAGACTACGCACTATAGTGCCAGTTATTGCACAAAAATTATTTTTGAACAATAGTCATGGCTCTGTATTAATTTGAAGTGAAACAAACTGTACAGGTCTATTATTATATATTCTGTAATTTGCATTTATTTATCAAAATCAAAATATGTGCGTCACGAAGTTTCCAAGTTTTTCAGGTCAGTGTTTTTGTTCAAGCAGAATCTATTGTAATATCACAGACAAAATAACAATTAATTATAAGCTATATTGTCTGTGGTAATAATGGTAATATTAACCTTTACAAAATATAGGTCCTAATATGCAGATACGTGTTCATCTTAATTAAAAGTTAAGTTGTTATAATAACAAATTAGAATAAACAGAAGTGGGTATTGCTGATTTAATGGTTTTTTAAAACGAAAACATTCTCTAATGATGCATGCAGGTAGATGTTTGACATTGCGGTAACTATAGGTACCTATATATAGATAAATATTTTATCTGTTCATATTTCCAGAATTATGAAAATGGTGTTATAGGTATATTTAACTAGGTACAGCGAACAAAAATGAATCATTGAAGAGATAAAGAGCTCGTATGGCAACCAATAGATCGAAAAAAGAGGCTGTTTTTACACTTAAGAAAAATACTTAGTAAATGAAAACCTAAGTGATTGCCCCAGCAAGTCGTGAACAATTTTTTTGAAATAATAAAAAATGCAAAAAAATGACATTTTTTAATTTTTTTTATAATACCTCGAAAAATAATGATGGAATTGTCTTACTCTCAATAGGACTTTTATGTAGAGAATAAAAAAACCTATAAAATGTTTTTTTGTGCGACCCGATCGGTTTATTTTTTACAAAGAAAATCCGGAAAAACCTCTAAAATAGACCTTTTTTCAAAAATTCATAACTCCGTCAAATTTGAAGTTGGAAAAACAATCCTGCGGAAAATGACAGATAATAATATGTAGTTTAATCGTGCGCAAGATGGTTTCTGTCCGATGCATAGTTTTTACACAATTGCATTAAGTATAAACAAATTAGGGTATTTTTTTGCACAACATGGCGATTTATCAAAAATGGTATGATTTATATTCTGAAAATGACATCTGAAACTGGAGATGGCCAACGTAATGCTAGAGTAAAATAAATACTTTTTTCCTCAAATAGAAAATATTTCTCCCTGGTAGGTATCAGATCTCAAACGTGTTTTAAAAGATAGATATGTTATGGACCAGGTGATTATTGCGGGCATTATTAATAATGTGCGGGCATTATGAATAATGTCTAGCTCTATCGGGCTAAGTGATTAATTACTATCTAAACTTCATTATTTATCACATTGCACGGTCATTATTATATTGCTACGTGACAATTGGGCAATTTGATAATAAAGCTAAATTTGACACGGTGCGGGGAGGGAAGCACCGAATTATACCAAATAATGAGTCTGATTGCTTAAACTTTAGTTTATTTTATGTTTTATAATAATATGTCAAAACTTCTATAAAACAAAGATATGTTGTGAAATGTTTGTTTTAAATTTTATATGTTTTGTGTTACCTATATTTTTAATATGACTTTCCTTAAGTTTTAAATGCAGAAACTAGTGGATTCTTAATGTAGAAGTCCTTNGGGACTTATGCCCTTTAAAAAAAATGAATACTTTCATTTTTTTCTTTGCAATAAGCTTTAATTTATTCACGAGAAAAACGTTGACCAAAACGAAAAATTTTCCGCAGCTTTTCCAAAGCCCTATTTTCTTTAGTCCTTAGTAGGACTTATGCCAATGTTTTTTATGAGCTTTTCGAATATAATAATGTCATATTTCTAATTGGCATTAATGAGAAATTGGTAGACAAATAAAGATGTTTTTCCACATTTTCTTACAAAGTTTTCCATATTTAGGTCTCTTGCGACACTTATGCCAAAAAAATTTCGTGATAAAATCGATACTTCTCTTCAACTTACGAACATGGCATAAGTGAGAAATACGTCGCTGTACACATTATTTTTTTGAAAGGAAAATTGAATTTTCACGAAGGTGTCCCGCAGCCCATCTTTTAAATTTAGTTTATTATACTTGTCTCTCGGTTACCTTTCAGTACTCTCAGAGGCATAAACGAGAAAAACGTCGTCGAACTTCAGTCTAATATCTCCCGGTCTATATGCTTGTACGGAGGATTGGCACCCTCTGTACAGGTATGGTATAGGGTGGAAGAATGCTGGCTTGGGTCAATGTGAGAGATTGACACCGGTTGGCATTTGACCACCCCCTAATTAATGAGGTTTTCCAGCTTTCCCTCATTCCTGCACTGAATGGTGGTTAGGGCCTACCAACGTAAGTCGTTCCTGGGCGCAAATGCGGCCTGCCTAATAATAATATGCCGCCTCCTCTCCCGCACAAGTGTCAGACTTATGGGCTAATTCTCGCGGTTAGAATAAGGAGTAGAGATATTATTATTATCAACCATCATTTATGCTACTTTGATTGAAATATGAAATTATATTTTTTAAAATGCTTGTAGCTTCTAAACAAGAACGAATCGGATTTATGTTCGTATAAGAAGAAATGTTTGAAATTAACCCAGCTACCATCTGTCAAAGTTTGTCATAGAGCTTGTAAAACACCCTGTAGGTAGATATAAGATAATTATAAAAACTTTTTATAAAGCGTGCCTTTTTCCCCGAAAAATGTGAATTAAAAAGGTTTCTCCTTTTACTCACTCTAACCGCTAACTACTGCTACGTGTGTAACTCCCACAACCCCGTGATTTACCGACTAAAAACCCGCCGCAGTAGCGCCAGCCCAAAATGACGATCATTTATGCAAATGGTGGTCATTTTAGGCTGACCACACACCTTACAGACAACGCACAAATTAGTTTCCAGATTGATGGGCTCGACGGCTGCGTCCGCCAACATGGGTCACGGGCTGAACACGGGGATGCCAGGCTTGGGCGCGTGCGCTGTTCCCGACTCGAAACCCATGCAGTTCCCACTCGCACAACGCCGGAAGAGGCGGGTCCTCTTCACACAGGCCCAGGTAAGCCGCGCCCCTCCCGTCCGTCCCAGGCCTATCGCGTCTGGGCCGGACGGAAGTCCGAAATTTGAATGAACGTGCCCGGCTGCCGACGGTGCCGGCACGACGGCTGACCATGGGTGTCTCGATTTTTCCGTTCGATATGTCGGGCACGGTATCCTTCGATAGAAGTGTTCGGTGTACCTACACGTCGGTTCATATGGAACTTCTGAATTTCAGGTGTACGAGCTGGAGAGGCGGTTTAAGCAGCAGAAGTACCTGTCGGCCCCGGAAAGGGAGCACCTCGCCTCCTTGATCCATCTGACACCCACCCAGGTGAGTTTTCGCTTTTCTTTATGAGATTTTCTTTAAATATCACCAACACGAGTGGAAAAATTGTTGTTTTTACATTGTTTAAACCAACAGCATTCACATCCAATACCTAGAATAACACTAAAATCGATACAAAAAGGAATAAATGCCTTGTATTACAATAATAAATGCCATTAAAACTATACTATTTGTACATATTTAAAGTTGTGACATGATTTTTAATGAATTTCACGCCATTTTGACTGGATGACATAAAAATGACAGATATTTTGACAACGGTTAGCGGTTCCAGTTCAGTTTTAAAGATCTTGATCGAATTAGTCGGTGGTTAAAGTTAACGGTTATTCGAAAAGTCATCTAATTGATCAGATTTTGATCCTTTCTACCCAAAAGAGTAATACCTACCTAGGTACTTACACTCATAACAAATTTTATGTAAAACACTAGTTTGGTTATTTTGATGACTCACTGAATCGTGTAAAATTGCCTTAGTACCTATACAAATAATATTAGGTGCATTTGCCATGTAATTTACTCCAAATGTAAATTTACAAATCGATGTAAATTTAATTATACGACACCAGAAGTGTAATTTTACCAGAATATGTTTTTTATGTACGTATTCATATTTTTCCAATACGTCATAAGTTGACGAATCTAAGGCTTTTTGGGTCGCAAAATTGTTATTTATCAAAAAATAGGCATGCATTGCATTTAAACTTTAATTTATAACATAATTAAAACGGTTGACAAGAAAACATTTAAAAAAATATATATTTTAACATAAGAAAATGCATTTTAAAAATGAACAACCAGTTCGTCATCTCGCCACCTACTGCTGATAAGTTGACGATTGCTGTGGGTAAGTTGACTAATATTTTAAATTACAAAAAGTCTTAAAACCAAAGTTTGAAAATATATTTATTAAGGATAATATACTCAAAATATACAAAACAGGAATATAACACGCTAATTAGCTTTATAAAAGAAAATCTAATAATAACAATTAACAAAACAAAACGAAATAAAACATTTACTCCAGTTATTTAAATAATTATGCGCAAAAGTCACAAATCCATGTTTTAGCTTTAGCTTCTTTAGGATTCAAAGTGGTACATTGTGAATGCGCCCAGTCTCGACATTTTGAGCATTGAAACCAAAGTTCATTATCCTTACCCATATCACTGCAGATTATGCACAGCTTATCATCTTCTTCGAATTCCAAATTCATATCATCCTCAGTGTCAGCATAGGCTATTTCTGCTGAGGTTCTGAATCCGATGAACTAAATACTTTGCGTTTAATATTATTTACTTTTCGTGTTATTTTTGTCTCTGCCTTATCTATGCCTAGCTTACATTTCTTTTTATCTATCTCAGCCTGTTCTCGAAGTTTTCTCATCATTTTTTGCTTGTAATGCATTCTTAACTGGGGTGCTTGAAATTACCAATGAAGGTAATTTTTTTCTTGGACGACGGTTTTTTTTACTTACTAATCATACCAAACTGCTCTTTTGTTAAACCAAAAGCCCGCTTATCAATATCTTTTATATAATTATACAAAACTTGCAACTGTTCAGCAGAAAAAGTTTGCTTATATCGTCCGGCATTCGATGGAAAAACCTAAAAGTCACAAAAATTGCGTTAAAATATAACTATGCAACAGTCAACCAATTTTACCTTATCAGGATATTTTCTTAAATATCTGCGAAGTGTTGGCTCTGGAAGATTATATTTTTTTGCAGTGGCATTAACGGACACATCATTGTTTTGTATTTCGTTTATAGCATTCTCCATACTTTCTTTGCTCCATGTTTGTCTGGCAGTTTTCCGAGCATAAACTCGACCCATCTTATAACCTAGACCACCAAACAATATTTGATTAATTAAAGTATTTGTTTCGAGTGTTGGGGTAAGATGACGAAGTTCGTCATCTTAGTCACTTTGTTGTTCGTCAACTTACCTCCAAACGACATTCGTAAACTTTTGTAATATATTTATAAAAGGACATGCAAGCCAGTACTATTTGACCACAATACATTTAGAAGACCCTTTTCCAGAAACCCAAGACCTCTGAACAACGGTTTAATACTCACCAGTCAAAATTTATTCTTTATTTCGGTTACCCCAGAAATTATAACATCACGCACCAATATCACTTATCAGCGTCTAACCTCAAACTGCGCCACTTTGCCGCCGAGATTTCGAAGCTACCATACTGCGCAAGTCCGTAAGGGTGAAGCGCGGCGGTTTCTCGATTTTAAAACGTTTAATTTAGTAGCAATGTGCAATTCGTCACCTTACCTACTTCGTCATCTTAGGGCCCTTTCCCCTACCTAGATGAAAGGGAAATAACATTAAATACAGATTTATTAATGCAGAAACTGAGACATATTCCCTAGTAGAGTGAAATACACTAGGCACAGAAATTAAGGAATATTAAAAAAATCCCAAAATTTTGGGTGATTTTCAAAAAGCTGTAACTTGGAGGGAAATGGTCGTAGAGAGAATAAAAAAAGAAAATTGAAGCTTCAAGTGTCTAGTTTTCAGATCCGCAGTTTAACATTTTTTAGCGTTAGCAGTTTTTGAGTACCTAACCATAAGAAAATCATCGGAAAAAAGTTTGTAAATTTTTGCTTTTTTAAAATGGCCTATGGACCTCAAAAAATAATTTTTGGTAATTTCAACATAAAGCTCTTTTAGATAATTTAATTTTCTTCAATTTGAGAGGTTCCGGAGCCTTGCACGATTATTTGTCGCTGAGTTATCGCCCATCAAAGCAAAAAATTAATTTTTGACTTTGGCAATCAATTACTCGGGAAATAATGGTCGTACAGAAAATCCAAGCAGGGTTTTGAAAACTGCAAAGTATTCTCTACAAGTCGTAATTATGATATTTAGATAAAAAACTATTTTTCAAAGAGAAAATGTTGGTTAGAAAAAAGGTAAAAATTTGAATAACTTGACATAACTTTTCAAATAATGAATAAACTAAGGATATCGACTGCAACTTTTCAACCTCAAACTGTCCTAAAGAAACCCTGATAATTTTTTTCCTAGTGCCCAGAATGTTTAATTTATCGTTTTGATGAAAGTCAATGTAATAGTAATTTTTCAGTTTTTATTAATTTTTTTAAGTTAAAAATGTTTTTTTTTCAAATTAGTGTATGTCCAGTTCAAAAGTAGGATATTTCTCAGTGTCATTTTGTTGCAATAGTTTAACATTTAATTACGTTTGTACGATCAGTGTTACAAAATTCCAAGAACTTATTCAAATTTAGAGTACCTATGCAAACATGGTATTTGTAATGGGAATGCTAATGCTGCTGTTGAAGAATATCGTCAACGGTTTCCACACCACATACAGGGTGTCCGGAAAGGTCATGTCAAAAATGAAGGGGGTATACAGAGGAGGTCAAAATAGTTGTACCTAGTACCTACTTCATAAAAAATATTTTCCTATCGGGCTTCGTTGTGGAGTTATTCGACTTAAAAGAAAGAAGTTTGAAAAACAAATTCCAATTACCTATAACTTCTATAAGTAAGTCGTTACCATGACAACAATGAAATTTGGGCAATTAAAGTACCTGAGTCATGGTAATGTACCATTTCCAAGTTTAAACTGATTTTCAATATGCTTGGATTATACAGGAGCAGACAAAATTATATCCATTTAATTTATACATCTTTGACAGCGTTACCATTTTTCTTTCATAGTTTTTGAGAAAATCGTATATAATCTTAGGCACTGACGATGAGGAATAATCAAGTAAACAATACATACTTATCTGATGCGAGTGTATAGTCAAGGCTGATACTTATGAGACACATACCTACATATTTTTTTGTGATTATTGGCAACAGTTTCCGAACTTTAAAATTTTACATCGCATTTAGAAAGGAAGTATCTCTGATTCATGATGCTTCCTTATATTTCTTTCTTAAAACAAGAAACAGCTCTTACCAATTCAGCTGATCCAGATCGTAGTTTTCGAAAAGGTATGTAGGTACAGGGTGTCTCAAACTCGATAAAAGTTTATTAGGAAAATAGAGCTTTTTAACAGGAAAAAAAATTGGGTATGTTTCTGGAAAAAATATAATTGATGAGGTCATTAGTCGTTTATTCTGTCAAATCCCAAAGAAAATACTTTATATTGAAAATGGAACTTACCTCGTCCCATTTAACAACACGTGTTCCAAATTCTATTTAAATTTTTTGTATCCTCACAGGTCCATACTATATCGAGTTTGAGACGCCCTGTACTAGTTCCTTAACTGCAACGAACTTTTGAAACGTAAATAAACCAAATCAAAAAATTATTAGCTTGAGTTAATAATAAATAATACCCGAAAAACAATTTTTATGTAAATTTTGCACTAAATATTAGAAATGTTTATTCATAGTCACCAAATAAATGTTATTCTACCTAAAAACAGTTTATAAGTATTTTTTTTATTAAAAAATAAACACTTGTATTTATCCCTTAGTAGCATTCATTTAATAACAAATCTTATCTTCTATTTTTAATTTTCTATGTATTCCATATTGGGAACTATATGTTCTTAATATGGAAAAACGCAGCTATGAAATATTTTTTTCCTTTCATGTTATACACCATTTTAGAGGAAATTCAATGAGACAAGTCGCCTGTAATATGGTCACATAATATGTATACCAAATTTTAATAAAAAATGTCAACAATTGTTAATGTTGTAGTACAATAAAAATTGAGAAGTATTCTATAATAGGTACCTCTACTCTACCTAATTCTTGACAAATTGTTATAAACAAAGAGGAACTTCCGATTAGGCTCTGCTTCTCATTCTAGAATCACTTGAGAGTAGATAGTTCAGTTAAATTGAAAGCTTTAACTAGTTTTAACCTCAAAATATTTATTCTTTAGTATTCTTTCTTAACTTGTTCATAATCTTCTGGATATGCAGTAATCTTACGCTCGTGCGCTCGTGCTTTGTATTCACTGCCTATCCGGAAAGATATTTTCG